TACTAGGCGACAGAGTAGTCCATGAGTTGCAATACTAGAATATTACTCATATGTGCCGCTTGCTGAGCCCTTATTTTTCATCTATCGCAAAGTTTTTAATAATTGGTATGGGATGCAGATTTCGTGTTACCCGTGACTGTTTTTTCAACTCCATGAACCCCAATAATATATGCCTTCTTCCCACAACCAGAAATTAAAGGTTGAAACCCCAAAATACTTTACTGTGCTTTAAAATACAAAATATTTATTTACACATTTCCTTAAGAGTCCATTGCTTTCAAAATAAAATGAGACCTTAACTGTTAATTATCGTAACTATTTTGTTTACAGTTAGTGCTCAACCCAAAGCGGTCACACAGCGCCTGGGAAATGGGAGGCACTGAGTTCGATTAGAGGAAGGGGAGGATAACACGTGTACAGGATCAATAGCCCCCCTAACTAGCATCAAGGCCTATTCGAGTTTTTCTGTCCTCCGATGAGCTGTATAGTCAACACTTACCTGTAAAGAGAGGGCTTTATCAGTGCCACGCAACTTAACCATTCACACATAAAAAACTCTTAAAGTTCAAGCATTATACAACTTAAAAATTACCACAATCATTGTGAAATAAGTAACTATTTATTTGATATGCAATAACATATATGACATTTACGGCCTATCATGCCAGCTCACCTTATCATGTTGGCTGATCCAGCTTAGATATTTTGCCTAGTGAGGTTTTGCCACAAAAGTGGCAGATCAACACACTTCCTGCAGACAAAGATTCAACTTTAATTAATTACTTGGTAAGTGGTATACGCCTATATAATTTTTAAATTTGGTTAACTAAGCATAAATTAATCTATACATGTTAAACATTAGGTGGGCTTATTATAAGAAACACCAGTAATAGTCTCAAATTATTAATGGAAATCACAGTTTACAGCTGAGAAAGTAATTAAGCTGCCTCAGTTTACAATGAAGGGCAGCTAGCTGTGAGCTTCAAAGCATTGCACATCATCACGTCACAACGGAGGTTTCTCATATCATTGTCAATTTCTGATCATTCATTGTTCGTCTTTCTGTTTGCTGTCTTACTTCACTTGCCTCTACTACTAACAATTCGCAGATTACACTCGTAGACAGCTTGCAGTATTTAGAAAAAGTCCAAAGAAGAGCCACAAAACGACTATTATAACTAAAAAAAATGAGTTGCAATGAAAGGCTGAAAACACTAGAAATGCCCACGTTGACTAATAGGAGGAAGAGGAGATATGATAAACAACACAATCAAGGTCATAAAAGGATATGAAAGTATGGGTAGATTGCTTAGCACATTCAACATGGATGATATGGTTTTACAGTTGTAAATCGAGAGAAAGAACAATCAAAAAGGCACAATACTGTGACTGGAACAATACACAAATAACCTGCACATACGAGAGAGGAGCTTACGACGACGTTTCGGTCCGTCCTTGAATTGAGACCTTAATGTTGAAACGTACTGTTTTGAAAGCTCCATCTTTTTCTTTTCCTGAGGTAACATCGAATATAATTTGCCTTTTACCAAACCAGTGTGGGTCATTCACTCACACTGGTGAGTGAATGTTATACATAGTGTGATGTTATAACTTACATTTGTCACTAAATTTAAGCCAGTAAGGACTGCTATGGGATCAAGTGAACTTACACCTTAAGGACCAGAAAGAGTTAACTATTAAGTTACGCAAATTTTTAGAATATGCTAGGTTAACTACGTAAATTCAGTGTTGCTTTAAGGGTAAAATTTTACCAAAAAAAAAAAAATAAAAAATTTACATAAGGTTTATTCAACTTACCCTCAGGGTGAGGGCAGAGGTTAAACTTCAAACGTTCTTAATTTTACCTGAATAACATCGAACTGTTTTTGTCAAAATTTAATGTTAATCATTTGGTATGAATGTAGCTTCTGAAAGTTATTACCTTTAACATTCAGATGGCAGAGCATAACGTCATGAGAGCGATTTTGTACAGGGGCCTGGTTACCCAAGCTCCTTATTTTTTCTTAACTGATTGCAAGTAGCGCGCTACAGCACAAACTACTTTTAATTAAGTTTAAAGCCTATCGACTATGCATATTATTATTATTATTATTATAATCAAAAAGAAATCGACTATGCATAAGAACATAAGAATAAAGGAACTTTACATTACTGCATCATATGAATTAGATCTTTCTCTAACCCATCCCTTTTCGCTAAATGACCAGCCTATTTTTCAAGCTACCCAAGGTACTAACTAGCTTTGATCTCTCTTCTTGGCAGATTGTTCCACTCATCTACAACTATTTCAAACCAGAACTTGTTAAATCCTTTTAAATCTGAATTTATCCAACTTGAATCCACAGTTTCTAGCTATTTATTTAAATATGCTTTAATTATACCTATATTCAGCCTGTATAATTTAATCATATCTTCCCTCATTCTGAGTCTTTCAAATGAGTGCAGCTCCACGGCCCATACGGGTTTAATGTATGTTTTTGAATACAATATCATAATGGAGAGAGGAGCTTCAGGGCTCTCAATCTATCAGTGGATTTCTGCCATCCTCCCCTGTATATTCTTTAATGTATTATTTACTGTATATACATTCTGATGTCAGTATTTTATACCATTAATATTGATTACAGTATATCTATTCTGTAGAATGGAAAGCAGATAATTAGTATTAGTATTATAATCATTAAGTGCTAAAAATGGAGTGCAGAAATGCGCCGTATAATTTAAATGAGGCTTTATTGTGTGTAGAACTCTAGAAAAACACATAAGGCTCTGTATTTCATAGTTCTTGATATTAACCTACGAGGGGTCACTAAGGCTACAGTCCACCCGTGCACCTCCAATCAAGATTTTAATTTATAGTATAGAGCTTGGAACAAGCTGTACAATTATATATAGCTAGTCTTGGAAATGTCTTCCCTGTCCCAAGCCACTTGAAGCAGTACACAGCCACCAAAATTATAGTAAGAAATAGGTGACTTTGTAGTAGTTCCATATAAACAACGCACCTGAGTGGCAGCTCTGCAGCCAAATGTGGTCAGCATTAAATACGCATGACGTGCACAACCCACGGGTTTCAGTCGGGTTTGTGACTTACTTTTGTAATTACATTACACTGGCAGGGAGACTGCTAAATCTGTAGAGGTTATACAGCGCCTGGGGGAAATGGGAGGCAATCGGGTTCGATCCAAGGGAGTAGAGGTTAAATTCCTTGGATCAAGAGCACCACACCGACATCAAGACACATCCACTGAGGGGGCAGTATAGCCTACTACTGTGCCTCAAATTTCATAGAAACAGCAGCCTCGTGTACTTGAAATTTCACTTTCATAATTATTACATTCACTGAGGAACACTCAACCCCTGAGGTATCATATAGCACCTGTGGAAATGAGAGGCAGTCAGGTTTAATTTACGGGAGGGGAGGTCAGGTCCAATTCCTTGGATCAAAGAATCCCCTCATCGGCATTGAGGAAACTCAGTTTTTTTTTTATATTTTAATCAGGCGGAAGCACTAAACCCACAGGAGTTACAGAACAGGAGGCATTCAGGTTTTATCCAAGGGCAGAACAAATCCAGTTCCTTGGATCAAGAGCCATTCACTGGCATCAGGCAGGTGTGCCTCCCTCGAGAAGCTGAAATATCACAACACAAGAAACTTCCCGCCAGTTTACCAGTCTCGCCTCTTCAACTCGCAGTTTCCAAGACATATAGATGCATTTCTCGTCACTTACCTCACTAATACCGATGTTTGTGAATGAACGAACGGTCGCGAACTCTGATAAAGGAGATTGAAACTACGTCAGTATGAAATAAACACAAAAGAGAGGCCGTCAGACGGGATGCTGTGTGGTGCAGTTGACGGCGTCAGGTGCGGTGCGGGAGCCCAGGTATGCTGAGTATAAACCACCTCTAATTAACCTCCTCTTTCCTGTTTTAGATGCTTTCACTACAAAAGGTCATTAGCACAACTCTCTGAATAAACCGGATGCTGTTAGGCAAAACAGATTATAATCCCTAAATTCTCAGCGTATATACATTTAGAGACATAACCTCTTTGTGCACAGATGACTTCTGGGTAGCGTCGCAATTAACCTGTAACGAATAATACCTAAAATAAGGGTTTAAATTAAACTCTCAGTGTATATACATTGATATACACACCTCTCTTTGTATATATTTTATATAGGCAGCTGAGAATTACAGACGAAAATCACCGACTGAAAATTTAATATATTAATTTTAAAGCCTATCACCACACGTGTGCCATTAAGGCTGCATTATAATAAAAATTATTTGATTAAAATCACTGCACATACACCGAGAGTTTACACAAATCCCTATTTCATGATAAATATTCTTGATGTTAGTGTATGGGTAAATTTGCAGCTTTAACGATCGCATGCAGTCAATATATTTTAAACCTAATAACCTAAACTAGCGTGCGAATCACACATTTGTAACCCATTCTGAGAGTGTTATCGTGCATTATATGTTGCTTATTTATAGACAGCTCTCTGAACACGGGTGAAGCTCCAACATGCAGTGAACATTATATGTACATGAGGAAGCGCTAAACCCGTGTTAGTCATAAAGTGCTTGGGGAATGGGAGGTAATAAGATTTGATTCGAGGAAAGAGAAGGGTAGATCGAATATTTCAGTATGCTGTAAATGCTAGTCCCTCAAGGTAAGTTCCTTAATGCAGGTTAGGGGATCTTAATCTAAGGAATTGGAGCTGCCCTTCCCTTGGTATTGAACCCGAATGCTTTACATGTCTAGCCTCATGACAGTAATAATCAACTCATATTAATGGGGAACCTCTAAACCCGTAGAGTTCATACAGTACCTATGGAATGGGAGGCAATCAGGTCTGATCCGAGGAATAGGAGGGCAGGCCTAATTCCTTGGAATAAGAGCCCTGCCACTCGTAAAGTTTTATACACAACATGCTTGTGTGCGGTGCGCCACCTAGCGCCACCAGTTGTGTATTACACATTGTTGACGTCTCCTCCAGACACCGTCCGTTTCTCTGTGTATATACGATAAGAGTCCCTGTTTTAGGTATTAATGTGTTCTTGACTGGTGGTGTACAGGTCGCGTGTCGTCTTAATGACCCTCGTGTGGACGATAGACTGCACAGTAACCAACCTTGACGCCTTGTTCATTTACGCGGTGGCAGGAAGAATGTTTTCAGCTCGCATGAGCTGAGTTTGTGATCATTCTTATTGTTGAATGTCCCATCAAGTGTTGCAGTAAGTGACGATTTTTTTTTATGTACTGTGCATATTTTTTTCGGTAGCATCAAGGATCCCCTGATGTAGTGTACAATTTTTTTCGCCAACATCAACGAACCCCTTAATGTACTGTGCATATTTTTTTTCGCCAGAGGTTCCTTGACGCTGGCGAGAGGCTCTTGATCCATGGAACTCTACTTAAACTGTATTTCCTTAGATCGAACTTAATTACCATAGTCCCCAAGCGCTGCATGACCCCTGCGGATCCAGCGCTTCCCCCTAAACAGTAAAACAAACGAATTATGATCTTAAATCCTTCAGGGGAGGGGAAGGGGGGTGTCCCTTGATGCCGGTGAAAGCCTCTTGATCCAAAGAATTAAGACCTATCCTCCTAGTTCAAAGTTCTCCATCCAGGATATTGCGGCTACTGCCTTATATCCTCATTACCAATGAAGGGCTCTTGATCCAAGGAATTGGCTCTATCCTTCCTTCGGCTCAAACTTAATTGCTTCCTATTTCTTTGGCGCTTTATGACCCATGCGAATTTAGCATTTCTCAATAATAAAATAATAACAGTGGATTAAGTGCACTTCTCGGTGAACATATCATGATAGTGTTACTTGTGAACGACCAATATAACAACAATAGTTCCTCTACCCTAAATTATTTTGCAGGAGAACGTACAATAGTCAATTTTTAATGCACATTAATTTTATCAAATACATTTTAACTAATGAAAAAATTTACATAGAAATTCAGTTTATAGTACATTAATTTATGGATTGTTCAACCGGTTCTCCATTATAGTTCGTTCATTTCTGCTCTATTACAACAACGAAAGAATGTATTACTATTAAGTTAACCTAGCAAATTAACCTATATTTACCTGTGTTTAATCGCTAGTAACAAGCTAGCAGGTGACATGTAGCAGTAGGTATCCTAACTGAAAGCATGAAGGTTTGGTCCTGATCCCAGGAATTGGAGCTACCCTCCCTTTCTTCGAATCAAAACTGGTCGCCTCCCATTCTCCTGGCACTGTATGCTCTTTCCGATTTAGCGCTTCCACATGAATAAATGGAGCGTTAACACCTCTATGCTAATTAATGAGGATTTAGGACATGTTCAAAATATATCTAGGTACACAACTTTAGTATAATAATCTTTTATGTATAAAATAAACTTGTATGATAAGCCTAAAATTAGACAATGTATTGCTACATTTATATTCAATACTTTACATAAATTTTATGAAATTTTTCTACTGCAAAATGTGAAACACGAAATACATATTTTATTTCATAGGACACTTGTAGCTAATGTAACTTTACTCGTACAATATTTCTTAACTGTCTTTTAAAGTTTTGCAAACAAATTTTTGTAAACTTTATTATGTCAAACATAAACACACTTAACACAATATAAACTGCTCGTGGAAATTTGCAATTGCTGGAGAACAAATCAAATAATAGTTATGTATATTGTTCATGTTTATAGTTAGACATTAAATCAGTTGCATATATTGTTGCACGATGTTTATAGTTAAGCAGTAAATCAGCTGTAGGAGTGTAGTGTAAATGTTTCCTGTGAGATATTGGAGGTGATGGGAACTGCTCCGCTTCTGTGATAAATAGCACAGATTTATTAACTGGTGATTTTAAATTTACGGGAAAAAATTACTTTTTGTAAAATGGAACACGAATGCATTAAAAAATAATCATAGCATACATCTCGGTTTCATAAGCAGACGATGTGTGGTAGGATATTGTCATTTTTTTCACATGAATGTTAAGACATGTGGGACAGGCGTAAATGAACATTCATTTGGTTGTATGCTGGAATTGACTTGTAAGTGAGAGATCTGCCCAATTAATTGAAATAGTTTTGCTTGTTTTATTTTACCTCAGGCAGTCAGGTGAGAAGTCAGTGCAGAGGCAGCCAGAAGGCGAGTGTAATACTCAAGATGTCACCAGCCAACGACGGAAGACAGTGAAATAAAACAGGTGGACAGTCAACCAGAAAGCGACAGTGATACGGAAAGTGTTGCACTGCCGTCCACTGGATGAGTATGGAGTAGATAGACTATACCGTCCACAGGATGGGTATGGGGTACACAGTAAACTAGCCGCTTCGGCTGCAAAATCTACAATCTAATCAGTGCAGTGCTGTGAAGCTTGCAGTTCCCCGTAATGAACTGACAGGTGAGTAATTATCTGCTTAACTCTAAACTGTGACCTCTATAAAGAAACTTACTTTCCTACTATTGCAATAAGCCCACCTTATTTGTAAAATTAAAGAACATGTTAATTGTTTTTAACATTGAAAATCAGTGTAGAAATGCATACATATTAAAATATTAATTAAAAGTTTAAAACGTTGACAGAAGTGTGTTGGTCTGTCACATTTGTGGAAAGACCTGGGAAGGAGAGACGTTCAAGGTGCATTTGCTTATATGATAAGGTGAGCTCATATCTTCGTCCTTAAATGTCATTATGTATCCTGTTGCATGTCAGTTAAAAAATGATTACATCGTGCCAATTTTGAAGTTTTGTAAATAACCTTCTACTTAGGTATGCGCATGGGTAAATAGAGGGTACTTTGATCAGTTCCATTTTTTACAGGTGAGTGTGACTACAGATCACCAATGGGACTGTAACACTCGAATTGTAAGGTATGTTCTTGTTTAGTTTTACTTTATAGTAAATGTTTAGACAGGAAAGCAGTGGCCGCTTAAGGAAGTGTGCTAATAAAATTTCTAAATTGTGAGGGGACAACATTCACAGTGAAATATTTTTGGGTTTAAATTTTCGATATGGAAAAATGACACGTTATAGGCTTATGGGGGTTATAAGAAACATTTTCGTCATGGGTGATGAAAGACTCGCACAAGTTTGGTCCGGTGAGCCTTATGAACAAAAAGCAATTTATGCAAGGTTCGGCAGGACGTGTTTGTTGGCCCTCCTTCAGCAGGCATCCTCACCTTGAGATGACACCGTCGGTTTAAGGCTGAGGCACATATTTCTCCCGTAGCCAATTTTTTGCTGGTATTTCTTCCTTTCCCCATGCTCCATGACCCTTGTCAGTTTAGCGCCTTATTTGATAATAATTCTTCCTTCCCCTTGGTATGAAAGTAGTTTTGTCTGGTCAGTTTTCTCTTGGGTGTTCTTAAGAGTTGTATTCACCTTTTTAATGCTAAGAGCGCTGGATGTGTCTGGCCAAAGCGCTCTTCAATTCTTAAATATAACCTAGTTATCAGAAATATAACTGGGTTTTTAGTTTGATAAAAGAAATTCTCATCCTTTGGTTATATGATACATGGAAAAGAGTTACGTTAAGCAAGGGAAACAAATTTAATTATATTATTGTAAATCATAGGCTACGGACCTCGTCTCGTCTCTTTTTTTTTTTTTTTTTACCTACAGTGCACAGTGCCTCGGCTAACATTTCCCAGTTCGTAGGAGCTGCTTACCTCTTACTCTTCTTTCTCAGATCATGTAAAGTGTAGACCATGAAATTACTCCTTTCTCACCAGTCTTAAATTCCGAATATCGATTTAGCAGGTTCATAATCCTCCGTCAGGCGAAAAAGTTCAACCTTGTCATGTGGTGTTCAAAATACAAAAATAAAAGTTGGAGCTGTTTCTCCAAGCTCTTGTTCTTTTAAAAATTCTTATTTTCAACACCCAAATATTTATACATATTCCCAGTACTTAAATAGTTGCTGTAAAGGCACAGAAGTATTTCAACCTAAAATGTTTCCGGGAACTGTATTAGTGTGTAAAGTGCTGAACAACAGCGCATAATTACTATGTTCATAGTTACACTGGAAACAAAGCTCTGAAAGCAGGTATTGATTAGCAAGGTCGCGGGGTAGCCTATGCTTCAGTTATCAAGATTACATTAGGCAAGTCGCTGATCTGAGCGAACTAGCAGAGCTCTCTGGTTGTGATCACGGCATCCTCTATAATCCAGTCTTGCAACATGTTGTGATATGTGAAGCTTGTCAACGCTGTAGGTGTGTAGCCTTGAGAAACTATTAGGCTAGGTATGGTATTCCTTACTCGGACATCAGATATATATCCTTAAGCGGAGTGAAAAGAACATTTATAAGACTTCTGTTAAGAAAGGCATATGAAAACCTGGTGGGAAAATTCCAGGATCTAGTTGTCCATTTTAACTAGGATGTTACGATGAAACTGTCTTGTTTCAAGGAAGTACACCCTGGTCAAAGTCAAGAATGTCCAATTCAAGGTTAACGAGGTGCTGGTCCAGCGGGCATTCGAAAAGTATGCCCCTCAAGGAAGGTTCCTTGATGTTGGTGAGGGGCTCTTGATTTAGGGAATTGGATCTGTGCTCCAGTTCCCCGAATTAAGCCTGAATGCCTTCCACATCCCCCCCAGGCGCTGTATAATCCTCCGGGTTTAGCGCTTCCCCCTTGATTATAATAATACTCGAAAAGTATGACTATAAATATCATCCAGAAGCGGGCAAGTGGTTGTGGGGCCTCTACTTAGGATTTAAGGATGGCACCTGCTGTTTCAAAATGACTGCGACACGCCATTCCGTCGTATATTATTCCGTCCTCTACTGGAAAGCAGGTAATGGTCACGTGTACAGGATAGAGGACGTCATATTTGTTAGGCATATGATCATTTGTACGTGGAATCTCCTAGGAATTAGTCAAGGCAGGATGACTCCCCAGCGTGAGGCGAGTCGGGAGAAACTGAGCTCAACCCGATGCTTCAAAGCAGGGAAGTAAGGACGAGCAAGCTGGCTAACAGGTGAAAGAGGTGAAGTTGCATCAGGTGTAAGTGCAGCAATATAGAGATGTGCCTGTGTCATTGCCTACAGGAAAGGTTGCAACAGTGAATGTGAACTAACAGGATATGATACAAGGGGACGAGAATTGTAATAAGGCTGAAGGAGTGTATTATGTAATAGATGTAGTATTGACTAGCCTACCACTGTGCCGAAGGACACGAGTTTTCTGATTGGCTCAACGGCAAGTGGGGTAAGTTAGGAGGATGTATTTGGTATTGGTGTGAAGATGCCTTGCCCGGTAGGGGCTTGTCCTGATTCAGATGATATATTCACGTCAACAGTAGAAATGACGTAGTGTCAAAGAGTGCGACCAATGTTAATAGTGCTACCAGTATGGTAGTGCGGACACATGCAACTTTCAGGAAGCCTTTAAAATCTAAGTACAATCCTTGGTATGGTAACGAGTAAGGGGAGGACAAAAAGCACTTCCAAGACAAAAGGTTCTTACATTATTTACTCTTAATGTAAATAGTGTGTGAAGATGCGAAGAGGTTCTGAGTAGGGGATACATTCCGCAGTTATGATGTATCTGTAGCTTTTGCTCAGGACCCCTCAAGGCAGGTTTTGACCTTGGTGAGGGGGCTCTTGATTAGGGAATTGGATCTGTGCTCCAGTTCCCTGAATTGAACCTGGATCAGCCTTCCATCCCCCCACAAGCGCTGTATAATCCCTACGGTTTTAGCGCTCCCTGTTATAATTTGGTTCAGGAACGCAGTTATAAGGATAGGGGATGGGGCTGCCTACATATCCTTAGTTATGTTGTACACATGTTTACAGGTTGTCTGAAAGGGTAAGTGGCTATATTTATGGCAGAGGGTGGGGGGATAACATTTATTATTCATAGATGAGAAAAATCAATGAGTGGTTGTGTGTTGACGGTGGAAGTTGACAGCTGTTTGGTAACATCTGAGTGTGTATGCGCCGAAGAGAGCAATGTGCAAGATATTCTTTATGAGAGGGCCAATTGGTATATTGTTTGAGGTCGTTGCCGTCTGTGGCAATTGTAGCTGGAAACTGGAAATGTGTGGTGAGGAGAAAACATGTGTCAACTAGGTGTGTAGGACAGTACTCCCAGGTTTTGAATGAGTGAGGTATACAGGTATGTGTGAGAGACTGATGTATATGGCTTCCAGGATCTGTCAGTGCGGCATACCTACATCTAGGGAAAATATGAAACATAATTAGAACAGCCGGACATGAGTCCTGGAGGTGGGAAGTAGTGCCTGCTCCAGAAGAAGTAAGGGTGGATATATGTTGCAGTTTTGAGCTGTAGTATCGACACGCCTCTGGCAAGACGATGATGGAGTGTGCGATGATGCATATATTTCTTCTTTGTCGGGTCACCCTGCCTCGGTGGGAAACGGCCGATTTGTAAAAAAAAAAATAAAGTATGAAATGGAGGCAGTGCATGCTAAATCGGTGAGGACCGTCCCGATAACTTTCTCGGATAATTTGGCAGTAAGATCTGAAGTTGTATGGGATCAAACTGCAGTTAGGGTCTCATCGTACTAGCATCCTCAAATACTCTCAGTGTGAGAGTGTGAGGATGCTGAGGCTGTGGATAGGTTTCAAGAATGATATGAGGAAGAGAAAAAGGTTTGATTAAGTGGTGAGACTTAGAGGCTCAGGTCATCAAACAGAAGTATATCTATAAATGCATGAGGATTACTTCGATGAGGTTAGTGGTTTTAAATTATGAGGGGTACTTAAGGCAGTGTTATGGGCTGGGGGCTATTGGAGTTTGAAAATTGAGCATTAAAGAGTTCAATTAGAGGCCTGCAAAATGAGTATTCCCTTGCGGAGAGGATTCAGACAGTATTGGAAGTGGTTCTCTGGGGAGAGGGGGGGGAGGGAATAATCCACCTGTGTCCCAGTTGTAGAGCCTCAAGCGAAAGTGTCCTGCAGCTCTGATACAGAGGGGACCAGGTTCTGGAAACAATGGAGGCAGTAGGGATATATATTCAGATATGTGGTATGTGGATTATTGAGACGGGAGTAGAGCAGGGACGGAAGGGAAAGGGCAGGCAGTATGTAATTATGTGCTGAGTAGGTTGGGGGCGGTGGACCGAGGGCTGTTAGGGAAGTGTCATTACTGATGAGTTATATGAGGCTGTGATTGCTTTGGCAATGAGGAAGGCACCTGGGATAAATGGAGCACCAGTGAAATTATGTTCTCTGGATTGGCAGGTGGCATTATAATTCTATTTGAAGAGGGGGAGGAAGTTGTGTGAGGTGCTTTGACAGCATGGTTTCGGGTGGTGGTGGTAAGGTGGATGGAATCTTTATACAGGAAAGTGATGAATCAGGTTGTAATTAGTGCGAGGCTGAGAAGGAGATTGAAATGGGAAAGAAGTTGAGGTAGGGCTGCTCAGTGTCGCAAATATTGTTTGCATGTTTTCGTGACCCTTTTTTATTGGATGGTGAAGGTTTGGTTGGCAGGTGGTCCCTTCCCTTAAAGAGTTTGGGACCAAGGTGTATCTAGTGATCGTAGTATATGTTGATGATGGTAACGATTAATGATTGCTTAGTGTTTGTTGAGTTACAAGATGTAGCTAGGACGTATGGGGAGACGACAGAGTTGAAGGCAGGCAAATCGAATATCATGGGTCTGGGTGAACGAAGGAGACGAGGCTGTTGAAGATTTGT